CAGCAGTGGGCTATGACTATCCGCAGAAAACATAAAATAAATTATTTTAACAACCATAAACCGTCTTACATCAACATCAGTGTATAAAATGTGCGACTGTAAATGACAATTACACTTCACCAAGTTCTACCAACTTCCCAGAGATCGCACAACTCTACGCACTTTCAGCGTCAATTACTTTCAAACAGAGTCACAATTACTGTAAACTGTAACATTTCTCAAGTAACAAAGTACAATATCACGGTGTGACTTTATGCACGTTAGCATTACCATGTCATTTAGTACACAGGTGTCGACGATTGGCGCCCAAAATCTCAGCACACAATTCCAGTAGTGCCTAAATCAAACCATCTTGTTAAATACTGACAGTTGATGCCATTTTATACACTTGTACGGGAATATTTTACAAGATATGCATGCATTTACCTACTAACGTTACTTTACATTACGAAGTTCTCAGCACCAATCCCTCGTACGCCAAACAACAACCATTCTACTCAAAGCTGCCGCCTTGTGACCAAAGTCTGCACCACATGTAAAACTGTGGAAATCCACTTACAATCTACTTCGCACAAACTGGACAATGTCACTCTCAAAACAAAACAACAAAAACACATGTATTTACATTACTCTACTTTTAGAAATATATTAAACCTAAGTGGAAATCGCCTATGAATAGATTTACCACCCGGCTACACATTACGTCTCCTCAAAGATTATTCTGTCCAAAAAAAAATACCACGACACGTGCTGAGACTTTAGCTGAGATGTTAGCAGGCCAACATCCTAGCAAGCTAAATTTCAGCACAGCTGTCGTAGTTTAAGTACACACCGTTCACAATGCAGCATGAGGAACGTACAAATAATTTGGACACAGCAGTATCACTAAATAGCATTATCATTCACAGTTATTACTTACTGGGATTACAAAAAAAAATAGTTAGGAAGCTATTAGTTGGTTATATTTCTTATGTTCATGAGCTGTAATTACAGTACAGTGGTGTATCAGCTGGCAGAGAAACAGAAAAGATTCATATCCATCTGTCATTGAGTTATATATTAGTTTCTAATCCAGTGTGCTTACACACACACACACAGTGTCACTAAAGTTCATTAAACAGCTGTTCAAAGTAAATATGGACGCCCCCCCCCCCAACCCGAGAGTAGCAGGAGGGGAGTGAAGTCTGACTGAGTGACCTCTCATTACAACACTTCACATCTTTAATAAAATGCCACGTAAATGTTCAAGCTTAATTGGAGGAAAATGAAATCCTCCACTTACAGAGTGCTGAGAGACACTGTGGGATGTCTGTCTGAGGCAAGTTCTCTGCTGTAATACTCATTATAACATATATTCACATACATTTATCTTGCTTAAGTTCTGTGTCAGCAGAAGCAAACCACCAGCGGTTGAAGAACTTACATTGTGTTTGGCAGCGTAGCATCTTACAGTCTGAGCTCCAATCTCACACGGCACAAAAAACACAGCTTCCAGATCTGGATGGAGTAGTGGCACATGCAACCATTCGGACGAAACCTGGAGCAACAAATGTGAGCAGAGATATTAGGATAAATATATTTAGACTGTGTGTGTGGGTGTGTATATGTTAGGGGTGGGAGGCAGGATTAAAATCTCCTGGCTAGGCATGAATTCCATATCTTGATTATCTTGAAGTATATATTATGACATCCTGAAAATGTAATTTATTCAGTAATATACAGTGTAATTTAACAGTATCTTAAGGCCATGACTTCTTCCATTCTTTTGCAAATTTGTCAGTAAAGAGAGAATAAAAATGTGTATAACATGGTGATGGTATTTCTGCAGAAAGTCTACATTGCATGACACATGTGGTTAACAAATAACAGGTGAATTATTACATTGATCCATTCTGCACAGTAAAACATCATGTTTTTTAAAAAATCTGAATTAATATAAATGCATTTTTAAAAAAAACGCATGCACTGAATTACTTAATGTGAAAAGTAATTGTGACATGTAAAAAAACAAAACAAGGTGAGATGAGGCTTTCTGTATATGATTTTGAGACTGTGCCAGTCTCACCAAAACCAGACATCAGTGTATTTTCCTCTGCGATGCATTAAACACCAGATTCTAAACTGTGGTGAGTCATTTCGCTCTCTCTTCCTTTCAACTGACTCTTTAACCAAACCTATATATTCCAGCGAGGAAGGTCTCCCACATCCTCCTCCCAGCTATGTTTCCCTGAGCTGAAGCCCTCAGAGCCATGAACATCGGTCTACTTAGTGTTTCTCTCCAGATTGTTGGGGAGCTGTTGCTTTGTATCTCCAAATCTCACACTAGTCAGATCATCAGACATATAGAGCCAGCAGCCTATTGTCAGGACTGAAGTGGACTTTCCCCTCCACCTTCTCCCACACTCTGTAGGACAGGCGTTTGGCCACATCTATCAGCGTTCCTGAGACCATCTGCAGATCAATGAGAGCTGGACTTTGGTCTGAGCGGGTTTATAACTGCTGAGGAAAGACACTTTGTGCTACTGCAGATCTTCAGCAGAGATCTGTCTGACAGAGGGGAGATATCCCTTCTGCTCCTCTACATTCCTCAGAGCTGCCAGTCTGGACTCCTCTTCCTCTTTCAGGCACTGGCGAAGCTTGTTGAACTCGGCTCTGAGCTGATTCTCTGCGGACAACAGCTTCGTTGTGTTTTATCCACTTGTTTGTACTTGTCCCTATTATCCTGTAGAGACTTTAGGTCAGATTTCAGCTGGTCCTTCAGGTCACCGACTGCTTGTTCAATAGGAACCACCTTGTGACTCCAGTGGCGAATCACCACCTCCAGCTTTTGCTCAGATGATCCAGCTTTCTCTCTATCATAGGATTCAGCCAGTTCCTTCAGTGCCAAGTTCACATCTTGATCGTCTCTTAGAGAATTTTCTTTTACAGATGGGACAGTTTTTGTTTTTAGCTTTTTCCCCAGAATATTTGCAGGCTGCTTGAACAGAAGCTGTGGCTGCAGCTGAGAGACACGGGATCTCTGAACGCCTCTGAGCGCAAAATTTTTAAGAACAGAACAGAGGAATTTGCAGGGTATTTTGTTGAGTTGAGTTTCTTCACCTTTCTAATTACAGTTTTCATTTAAAAAAAATCTTTCAGTTTAACTTTCCTCCTGGGGTGAAATATTAACAGCAGGACAGGCTGCCATGTCATTTTGTCACCAGAAGATGGTGTCACATGGTGCCCACATCCAACAGCAGAAGCACGGCCTGTTGGGAATTACTGCAGTGCACTGACTCATTAGAACAAGGAGAGGATTTTTCTTTAGTTCTCCAGAGAAGACTGCACATTACAGGACGACTGACACTAAAATAGCTTTTATTTTTTCAGCAAACAAAAATGTAACAGTTTTAACCCTCCCATTGTGTTCCAATAAAAATATGCTAATTACTTTCTTCTGTTATAAATATGTTCTTTTTAATCTGGCTTCTTGTTTTTCTCCATACTAGCAATTTATACATATATTATACCATATATATTATACATATAAATATATATATTTTACATTATATAAAATGGGTGATGACCATTTTCATTTATTTCTGATGGTTTAATTCAGTAACTTGATATATGAATACCATCACTTTTCTGCTTTCACACATTTCCTAAAACATACCAGGACTACCTGCTGGTCTTGTTGTAATTACCTGTATGTAGCTTTTATAATCATATTCTTCTTACACTACAGCAAAATTGAAGTACCTGACCAATGTTTCCTAGTGGTTTAAAGAAGACTTAAGTCATCTTCTATTCACCTCCTGCCTGTTTCACCACTGTGGGGTTTAGAGCCTTCAGCCGCTCTGCCCCTCGCACATCCGTAACACTGACTTGCTTTCCATTTTTAAATCCCGCGTGAAAATACACATTTTTAAACTGGCACATCCAACGTGATCGCCGTTCATCTGGTCACAGCAATCTTTTGTTTCCAATTGTTTATGTACCCTGATTTTATGCACGGTTATTTTAGTTCTTGTTTACTTTATTTTAGATTTATTGCTATACTGTTTTATTATGTTTTGTGAGGTGAACATACATTTAAAATGTGTTATTAGTATATTTATGTTTAATATTGTGTTTCATGTTTACACTGTACATTGTTCGAGAATGTGTGCCAGCATAGATTGAACAGGAATCTTGATGCTTATAATACCATTTATCTGAATCCTGCACCAAACAACCAGAAGCAGACAAAAAACAAGAGACACTTTTCTCTGTAAATATTAACATTTATTTAAGTATACAATTTAGTATTTTCATTGCGCCCCCCCCCCACCCCTCTTCACAGGTTCTGTCAGTATCTCGGCTTCTCGATGCAGCATTAAGCCTCGCTGGAGGACGGTAAAAACGCTAAGACGAACAGTTAAATCGAGCGTTGGTTATTTCTTTACACCGTTTACAGACGGAGGATCACAGGCATTGCCAAACCCACAAGCTGCTTGATAATGCCACATTTGGTTCATTATTTGCTTTTTTAAATTATTTTTCCATTAAGGAGGCATTTACAGTCGCATTGCATAAAATTATAGTTTGTTAACTGAAGAGGATGAAAGTTTTTTTATTTATTTATTTAAATCTTTTAGTGCTTTGCGTGATGATATTTGTTTGAAATACTGATCAGACCACTGTTGTTTCCTACAGCTGGAAATAACGGAATGAAAAAAATCAATCAACCAGACATTAAGAAGAAAACTTTCATCATTTCACAAATGCCACAGTGTGAGTGAATGGGTGTGGACAAGTTTTTGTATTAAGCCAAAAAAAATAAAGTCACTAACTGAAACATCGTCACTCATGTTTGTACTCCTCTTTAAAGGTCACCTTTAGCTTTTAAAAGTGTCCACCTTCGCTGTGACCTGCTTGAAATAAAAAATAGGCTACAAATTATTTGACAAAACACACACCAGAAAAACACAAAACTGAACTATCATATAAACTGTGTGCAAATAAACGGCTTTAATTTCATAAAAAAAAAGTTGAAAATCCACATGAGGCGACTGAGCCGCCGCCGCATTTTGGTCAAAGTATTTATGAAAAAATAACACGACTAAACTACGATTTATTAGGAAACTCGGAGGTACGAAAAGAAGCACGGTAAGAAAATAGTGTTATCTCGCATTTAAACCGACCACAGTCAAACACAAAGAGGATCCTGCCTGTTTGGTCACACGTACGTCTCCCTTTCAGTTTGTTTTTCCACGAGGAATGAAAACACGAAGAAATGAACACAAAAAAAATATTTCCCAAGGAGCACAAGAAGACCGCAATTCAGATTCCCCTCAGTGGTGCAGCTAGTGTTTATATTATTGATTATTGATAATGACATGACGCCGGCGGTGTCTCCACATTGTGCTGATGGCGGTGTTAAGTGCTTTTTTATGACAGACGTCCGGGGGAAAGTGTCTTTTAACGATGAGGGTGTGTAACGAACAACACAGATTTAACGGATGAGGTATTGCACAGATTAATTATAATGGTCATAAAAAAAACAAAAAAAAACAAAACAAAAAGGCAAAAATAAATATACAGCCAATTCATACAACATTTACAACATTTTAGTCAGATGCTGGAAGATTTTTAGAAGATATTTTAGTGTCAGCGGTAGGTGCGGAGGGACCGGGGTTGAGGAGAGAAATCTTCACTAGTCGTCCCACTCGTCGTCGTCTTCGAAGTCCTCGTCTTCGTCGTCATCCTCGTCTTCGTCTGGGGAAAAAAAAAAAAAGACAGTGTGGAAATCGGGAGACTAACAACCGTTTCACAATAACAAGCCACAAGATGAACAGGAAATATAAACCCGACTGAGGAGTTCTGCTTTAAAGGAATAGTTTGCTTTCCTGCTGAGTTAGATGACGAGATCGATCTCACTCTCACGTCCTTCTGTTAAATATGAAGCTATAGGCAGAGGCCAGCTAACTGGAAACAGAGGGGAAACAGCAAGCCTGGCTCTGTTCAAAAGGAAATAAAATCCACCACGCAGCACATCAAAAGCTCACTAATAGAGACGCTGTCAAAGGTAATGGCCTACATATTAACGACAGGCTTACCTGAGGAATGGATGGCTTTGCTCCTCTTCTGCATCACCTCCATCAGAGCGCCGACAATGCCCGCGGTGGGAGCTGGCGTTGGAGGGCCGGACTCTGGATTATCTGGCACCTGGAGAGCCACAAAAACAGATCCGGTCCAGTTTGTTACAGATACAATGTTGTGTTTCTTTAAACATTTAAATCACAGGTATATTCACATACAGGAAATGAAAGCATCTTGCTGCCTCTAGCCCGCCACAAACACCCATTTATGGATTTTTAAGTGACATTTTGATTTTGACGATTGCTCATTAATCAGATCATAATATACACTTTTGTTCCATTTGTTTTCTGCCTTTGAATAAGACTGCAAACACAAAATGGTGCAGCTTAAAGTGAAATTCCTAAAAATGTTAATTAACCATCTGAACGCTTGATTTTTTTGGTACATTTTTAAAGCCTACGATTGTTTCCATTTTGGCAAATTTGCACCATGAAAAGTCTATTAGCTATAAGGAGTTCTTGTTTGCACTGTAACTACGCGGTGCAAATAAAGAAAACTTCCAAATGTGATGATCATGAGGCTGAAGATCTGATCGACTGACTCTAAGAAGAGAGTGTGATATCTATCACATCTATGACGTGGGATATCGTGATCGTCTTACGGTCTTGAGCTGGATTCCCTGTCGGATCTGGTCCAGCAGGGCGTCCCGTCCAATCCCGGAAGCCGGCGCTCGGTGGTTCTGCTCCACCTTCTTCAGCTGGGCTCCTCCTCTAATCTGCTCCAGCAGTGCCGACTTCCCGCCGGGACTTGGCGAATGAGGGGAGTCTCCGCCTCCACCGCCATCCAGCTCTGGGGGCGGAGGGGGAGGTGGAGGCGGCGGCGGAGGTGGTGGAGCAGGAGCCGCGCCGCCTCCGTTGCCTACTGGAGAGTGCTGGGCCAATGGGGGAGGTGGAGGGGGTGGGGCTTGCGGAGCAATGGACGAGTGCAAGGAAGACTGAGGAGGAGGAGGGGGAGGCTGGTGGTGGTGGTGGTGATGGTGGGGGGGAGGAGGGGGCTGGTGACCTCCCCTGGTGGGAGGAGGTGGAGGAGGCGGGGCACCTAGAGTTCCTGGTCTAGTGGGGGGAGGAGGAGGAGGAGCTGAGGCAGGGGCTCTCGACGGCGGAGGGGGAGGAGGGGCCCCCCTGCCTCCTCTTGACGGGGGAGGAGGAGGGGGTGTAGCTGAGCTGTGGGGGGGCGGAGGAGGAGGAGGGGGACCGCCACGAATAGGAGGTGGAGGGGGTGCTGCAGGAGAAGATAACAGACACGAGATCGAATCAATAAACCTTAAGATGACGTCACACAGGCGCCACCTGCCACCTGTTCCCAAACTTTTTAAATGTGAGTCATGCAAAGCTACAATACAGGAGTCACAGAACTACAGTATAGGAGTGGAAAAGCAGTTTAATAGGTTTCCTTTAATGTTGTGAAACATTGCAATTTGGTTAGGTTTAGGCACCAAAAGTACTCCATGGTTTGGGTAAAAAAAAAGAAATAAAAAAAAGAAAAAACTACGTTATGTTCGTCAGTTAACTTAAGAAATATAAGTAACGTTACTTGCGTAACTTACACAATTTACGTAACTTAAATTATTTAATGTTGACTTTTTGTTTCACACAGGAAACGAACACCTGTCTCCTGGCTGAAAGTCGATTTACTGGCCCTCCATCCACCCCAACCACCTAGTTACTCGGTCTTTTCTGCTAAATATCATATACCTACCTTTACCTACAGGGCTTCCCCCATTGCGCTGAACTATGACACTATTGGGATCTCTAGTGCTTTACAAACTGACGCTGACGGGTCTCGACCACGCGTCCATATGTGACGAGTTGGGAGTGAGAATGGGTTGGAAAATATTTAGTTTTTTAAATGTTGGTCACACAAAACAAGCAGTTTGAATATGTTAACATGGGCTTTTAGGAGATTGTGATACTTTGACATTTTATAGAAAAAAAAACAGTCAATTCAATTTTCTAGAAAAGAATCTGCTGATTAATCGATGATGAAACTTATTGTAAATTGCAGCCCCAGACTGAGGGTATGAAGAAAGTTACATTTCTGCAGCACCTCGTCTGTACTAGAACAGCGTCCTTATTGTAGTCAGTCAACATGACGACCACAGATAGCCAATAATATTCCAGTACTCTGACAACTTGAAAAGATCCACCATCTTTCTACACGTTGTCTAAAATCATCATACACCCAGACACCCTTACATCATCCTAAATTGAGATTCAGATCAGTCCTGCTTTCAAAGCAGCGCAGCTTAACATGAATAAAACATGGGCAGAGACTCATGACAGAAGAAGCAGAGTCTGTCACGAGGAATAAAAAAAACAGACAGAGCATACCGTTTCATCTGCACACCTCAAATCTACTGTCGGAAAGAAAAATACAGGAGAAAGGCAGGAAATGATAGTTCAAGATAAAACTGTGAGGGGATTTTAAATGAGTTTGAAAAAAAAAAAGTTATTTTGCTTCTTTTTAAAACAAATTTTTGCTATGTTGCTGTTTTTATAGATTAATTTTAGGCTTAAAAATCCCTGACTTCTGACTCGATGCTACACTACACACTTCGCCCGTCATGTTCTGTGATTGATATTGATTATTTATCATAAAAATGTTGCACAAACACCAGTGCACTCACACCTTAAGTAGATGACAGCTGTCAATCACTCTGCGTAATGCAGCGCAAACATTACAGTCGGATAAATGAAATCAGTTTATTCAGACTGGTTCGCACGACTTGTCCTTTGTAAAAACAGCTTTTGTCTTTTCACTTGATCAAACCTCATAGTTTGTATGTACGGAAACCTAAATATTTAACTTTATTTTCACGTTTGTCTCTAACATTTAACTGACTCTCATGTTTTAATGTCCCACAAGAGTTTAAAGAAAAGGTTCGACAAGTGAAATCCACTTATTAGTCTTCTGGTGGAGAGAGAAGATTCTGTTGATGAGAAGATCAATACCATACTCCTCATCTAACTATCTGTTAGTAATAGGGTACAACTAACGATTATTTTCATTATCGACTAACCTGCAGACTATTTCCTCGATTAATCGACTAATCGTTAGGTCTATAAAATGTGAAGAAATTGTGAAAAATGCTCATCACAATTTTCCAGAGCCCAAAGTGATGCCTTCAAAGTACTTCTTTGGTGCAACCAACAGTCCAAAACCCAAAGACTCGTCATTTACTATTATAAATGACAAAGAATAGCAGCAATTCCTTAATTGACGAAAGAAGAAGAAACCAGCAAATTTGTTTACATTTTTGCTTAAAAAAAAATGCCTGAAATGATTAATCGATTATCAAAATAGTCGACAGACTATGTGAATAATCGACTCACCGTTGCAGCAGCAGTTAGTAATAGTATTTCCCACAATGTTTAACTACTCTTTTAAGATCTGTTTGAGAGGTTTTTACATTTTGGCAAAAGAGAGGAAAGTCATTTGGGAGAAAAACTGTAAAAACTAAAATGTATTATGTATCAGCTATCTGCAAAATCAACTGACAAGCAGCAGCACTGGCCTTCTTCCATCTGTCAAAAATGAGCAGAGCCCTGCGCAGAGAGAGCAAGAGAGAGAGCGTGACCGTCCAGCAACAGAAACCAAGGCAGAGCATGGTTTCCCACAACACTACCTAACTGGGAACGGAACTAAATACATTATTTTTTTAAGACTAAATAATTTATTTATTCTGTAAAAAAAAAAAAAATCACAATTTTCCAAAGTTGAAGCTGACATCTTCCAACTTGTTTTCGTGCTTGTTTTGTCTGACCAACAGTCCAAAATCCACTAAACTTAAATAAACAACTCATCAATTAATTGAATTATCATTAACAATAATTACGCCACAATATCTGTGTTTACATCACAGATGGTGTTAAATCAAATGCTGCGCCACCTTCATTATTATTCAAGATCAGTTTGACACATCAAAAGGTATCCGAGTGTGTACGTGTGTGTGCGCGTTCTCACCCTGCCTCCTCAGTTCGTTTTTGACAGCCTCCACCCCTCCTTTCTTCTCGATGAAGTCGTAGATGACCTTGGACGTCTCTCGGTCCTTCAGCTGAGCCTCAGAGATGCCGCACATGTCGAACAGGTTCTTCAGTTCAGGATCCAGGTTGTTGAGCTGCAACAACAAAACAGAGAACATTTTAAACACGCACACACACAAACACACACACTGTTCAGGACTGCAGTTATAAGACTTCTAACTAAAGCTCACACAAAAATGACTTGTCAGCTCAAAATACTTACTGATGACTCCTGTGGTCAAACTTCCATTTGTGCAGAAAATAGCTGCAACAAATTGTGTTCTTGTATGAAATGCTGGATGAGGAAAGATGCATTATCTGGCCATGTGGAAGGAATCCCATTACTGTGCGGCTTTGTAACAGTTAGAGGTCAGTCTTTAGCCATGCTATTGACTCCGTGAGGCTGTACTTCTGCACAACGCTGCTTTGAGCCAAATGCTAACTCCCTAATGGGAGTCCTGCACAGTGCCGACTAAGCTAAGCGCGTACATGAGTATACAAGGATCTGAAATAATTTGACTTTGTTCTGGCCCGTCCTGTAACAGCTTGAAAAAATTCTGGCCCAATGCCAGACTTATTTGCCGACCCCTGCTTTAGGGCATTGGTTTTCAAAGTCTGAGACTGTGGGCCTCTCGTCAGACAAAGCTTGAAAAAAGCCCCCTCAACCCCCCATATTTTACTTGCTTAGTTTTCGCCTGGATGCCTAAGATATCATGATTATGTTATTTGGTCCTATAGACACTCAACTATTGAGAAAAGATAGCCTTAATGTTTAACATAACTTCAGACTACGCCAAATACATGAAGTGTCTCCTAAAGCATTTACTGGTTTCTGACTCTGGTAAAGTAGGAAACACTGTAAAATTCCCCTCTTTAACCAATCACACATATTTAGTCTATTCTTCATGATCTCTTTTTGATAACGTAAGAACTTTTCACTTCCATTCACTGAGCCTGCCCCGAAACAGTTGAGGCCCTCCCAAGTTCAAAACCCTCTGCTCTAGGGAACTTTAATATCAGCAGCAATCCATCTGCTATTTCACCCTGAACCACCAACGTCAACTGACTGACTGCCCACATTTTCACAGCAATCCATCTAGTAGTTGTTGATAAATCTCAGTCTGGACCAACAGACAGACCGACCAACATTACCGTCCCTAAAGCCAAAGGAACATGTTTATAGTAGTAACACTGAGTACTGAAAGCAGTCCTCTACTTTGATCCAATGTCTCCTGATTTTAATAAGAACTTTGTTTTATATTAGTTCCTAAACAGCCTCCACTTCACAGCAACAAACAATTGCCAAACCTTAAATGACAACACTGATGATACATCCTGTTAACAATCCCACTCAGTTATTTTCCCACTGGATTTTGTTAATACATGTTAGTTTATTTATACCTCACTTGGTTTTATTATACATTTGTCACCGTTTCTTCTGTAAATAAGCAGATTCTGCTTCCTCTGCGGCGATGATACTCAGCAGTCAGTCACAGTGTCAGTCTGACATCTGCTGGCCAGCAGGTAGAATTACAAGCTCCAAACAAAACAATCCACTCCGCTGCTTTTCATCAAATCAAACATTGACCTGCAACTCTGTTATGTTCTCCTCCTTGGAAATATTCCCACCTCGTTTCTGTCACACTGCAGTGCATTCTGGGACTGTCTGGTGTGGGACTGACATGTGGGATACTGTATTTTATCAGCCTCCTGCTCGTTAAGCCCCCCCAGTCTGAACACAACGTTCGTTAGCGGACAAACTCAACGATGACATCAGCAGCTTCAATTGCTACGAGAAACCAGTTCCTAAACAGCCGATGTAATAACGTGCGCAGTTTGTCACTAGATGCTGTTTTCACATTACTCAGTTGAAGGTTTCTCCTCGTTTCCCTGAAATGTTTGACATCACATCTAGTGGAGAAACAAATAATGCTCCAACATACAACTTAAACTCTGCAGAACACGTACATTCGTCTTTTGAGACAGTAGTAGAACTTTTTTTCATATTTATTGTTTTTGGAAATCAGTAACAAGACAGAAAAATGAAGTGTGCTTTAAAACCTCTTAAGAGTATTGTCACATTTTATCATTTCAAAACTCAAAATGTCAGCTGCCCTACGAAACAAACCCTAAATAACATCACATAACGTTTAAGTGTGTCATTTTGCCAACCTGTTTTTTACTCTTTGTCCTCTTTTTTATGGGTGTTTGTATCCTAAATTGTGTCCTGTTAATTGCAAAATTTGAAGCACCTGTATAGGAGCTATACTGGATGTGCCTTCTGCATACTCTGCAGCAATAAGAGGAAATAAAAAATGAAAAAAGCCCCATTACTCTAACTTGTGATCTCACCACAGCCCTTGCTTTAATAAACCAGATTATTTTCAGCTGTGGCACCAAATCACTTTTTTATGAAGGGAACTGCTGACAGTTAAAATACTTTCATTTGTGCTGTTAGTTCATTGCAACATCATCACTGATGATGAACACAAAGAGGAGCTTCTTGACAGCTACAGCTCCCCTTGTGACAGAGATGTGCTGGTTGTGGAGACGACCACGTAGTCAGTGCGTTTGCGGGTTTAAAAGCCAGTTTCATGAGGTGCTTCGTGCCTAATAAACAACAACAAGTCAATACAACTTTTAATTTAACAACATAAGAGGGGTGGGGAATAGCGTAGGGTGCACAATTACCACATTGCATTAATTTCAAGTGTGCTAATTATCTATGAAATTAGAGCTTTTTGAGACTGTGGAAGAGGAAGAGAGAAGCGCTTTGAATGAGTCTGTATTTAAATATATTTACATAATGTCTTCAGTATGCCACTCTGAGCAGACCGGTTCTCTCTGGAACATTCTGTGTCCGTGTGCAGCTTCTGAGACGCAGCGAGATGAGTATGAGCAGGAAACAAAAAGAGCCTATTGTGTGATTTCATCATGCAGCAACCACACAGGTCACTATTGTGCTCCTGTGTGCGTGTTTGTGTGTGTGTGTGAAAGGGGGTACTCACATCAAAACCTGTGTTTGGATCCCAGCCCACGTGACCGATGTGCCTGAAGAAGACGGGGACAGATATGTGGTGAGATCACACACACACGTCCACACAAACACATAAATATACAGAAGTACATCAACTATTCAGCATGTGCACGTGGGCGATCATGTGCACATGCTAAATAGTGAGCCCACACACTGACACATCAGTCACAGAGACAGTGTGGTCATTGAGCGATTTCAGACCGCAACGAAACAGGTTTACTGTTGCCAACAGGCAGAGGGTTTCTGCTGGATCAGACAGGGTGGTACAGGTCTATGACTGCGCGCACACACACACACACACACACACACACACTACAAGGAACATTTTGGAGAGGCTTTAAGTTTTTTTCCTAGAACATTTAAGTTAATTATTTGTCACTTGTTTTAGGCTGAGTTTGCTTTTGTAAGATGACCCGATTGCCAGTTGAGCAAGTTTTAGCACATTAACAGCAAACTCTGCACACATTAACATTCCTAATGATCATTTCCCAAGTCATTGGGAGTTTCTGGTTTAAAGGGGAATGCCACGAGTCATGAGTACTTCTACTACTCCGCCTGAGAATGCTGTTGCATGAAGTCTTCTGTGTCTCTGGAGGAGTAATTCATTTCAATGACACCACTCGAGTGTCTCGGCCTCACCATGGAGAAAACAGAAAGCCTGTGTTATGGAGGTATGGAGCTTAAAAGATATAGATATTTATCAGAGAGGGTCTAATGAAAGACACTATTGAGTTGCATTTTACCCACACTGGGGCCAAAAAGTCAGGATCTCTCGCTTCAATTTTTGACGGCTCTTCTCGTCCCCCAACTACAGTTTTTTTTTCTTCTTTTTTCTATCATTTAATAGTGAAAATATTAGTCAATATTATTCAGATTAGATGGACTAAAACACTATCTCATCATCATTCTGCTGCAGCGCTCAACAATGATAAATACGAGGTGCGACTCACTGGAAGTTGCTGGGCGTGCCAATGTCAGCCTTCGTCAGCTTCTTCTTCTTGCCTTTGGTCTTCTTGTCCTTCCGGGATAGCCCGCTGTGGCTCAGCATGTTGTTGAGGTGGTACGGCTGCTGGTGGCTGTGGGAGTTGTGGAATCGGACGTTGTTGATCTCCGGGTTCTTGATGTCCACCACGGCCATGTGCAGAGCTGGACCTGAACACAGGGAGGGAGAGAGGGCGGTCAAGCAGAAATGTTTATGAGCTGTGGTTGATTTTTGACAGCAAACTTTCCACTTGTGCAACACAAATATTAAAATTTAATAAGTAGACTCTTAAGATATGCCTCGATCCCATTCCTGCTCCCCAGGGGATGAACCTTTTTAACAATGACCATCCCTCAGGACAGGCTTTACATTTTTAGCTCCACTACTGGTTAGGTTCCACGAATAGTCAAATCATCAGCATGTTGTTTGTTGTGTCAAACATGTTGCTGTTTAGGGTTTCTGCAGGCTTCACAAAGTTAAACGAAATACCTTTTAAGACCATTTAATGTAACATATTTGCAAAACAGCTGATCCAGGCTCAACTTTTGCAGTAACATCATCCAGTAAAATGCTGCGTTAACCAGTAAAATACATGCAAGCGCAATTTCCTGGCAGAGGACTTTATAACATTAACACGCTAATGTTAAGATAAACTATCTGTTGTCGTTATAAAATTGAGGGCAGTGCAGCGTTTTTGCACATGACAAGCCTCAAACTCAAGAATCTTTTACTTAAACTAGACTTCCTTTATTCTACTTATTTATCTTATGTGTAGTGTGTACTGCTGGTCGGACAGCACTGACTGAAACTTCTTATAAAAGAAGCACGAAGACGAGTTTATTATGAAATATGTTACAATTTCCCGACAGCCTGCAATCACACAAACATTTTTTAATATAAAATTGATTATCTGGCAGGCAAGAAAGCAAGCTTTTAATACCTTTGCAAATGAAATTAAATATTTTAATACATTTTAAGGCCTGTTTTTGATAAAACAGAATTCAATTCTATTAGGATTTAAGACCTGTGTGGATTCCCTGATATTGTCGCTGTAATGAAGACTGCATCCTACAGGGGGATGCTGGCGTACCTTTTGACTGTTAGTAAGGTTTTTACTGTAGTATGTAATCTAACCGACCCCTCCTGACACTAATCTATATACCTTCAGTAATCCCTGGTACCTGGGAGATCAATATAGCAAAGGGTTTCTGTAAAATCTCTGCAGTGTTTCATGTTTACCAACGGGGATCTGATCCATCTGCACTGAGCTTTTATGATCCATCTTTTCTTATATAAATGTCAACTGGCTGTCTCCCCCCTAGCGTTGGTCCGAACCGTTCAGTCTTTGAATTCTCATAATCTCCACAAACCACAGCAGCATCTGACAATCACTAATCCACTGCTAATCCCAGTCCAAATCCCAGGACTCCCCATGAATGCCGGATGTCTATGACCAGACCAACATGCTCGCCTCAAATCTGCCGTCTTCTGAGGACCAGGGTGGTCGTTTCCACCTTTTGAAGTAGAGCTGTATGGGTTGGTTCTGTGTGATCAAAGATGAGTTATGCAGCCCCCTCCCTATGGAACTCCTTACCCATACACACCCGAGATTGCAGCGACATAGACTCAAATCACTTATAAAAACCCACCTTTTTAGACTAGCTTTTAACCTCAAATAATGTTATATTGCACCTCCTGCTGTTTGTTATTTATATGGTCGCCCCTTCGCTCTTATACATTTCCGCACCACATGTTTTCATCCACTGTTCATACATTTTATATTTTGCTATTCATGTTTTTTTATCCGTTTTAAATGTACAAATCATTTTTGTATCAGTACTCAAACTCAGGTATTGTTTCATCGCTAGTGTCTTAACATTTCAACTGCCACCTAGCCCTAATCGAATTATAATGTCACAAAAATGCTGTCCTCCTGATCCTTTTGCAAAGTTTGTTGAACTTTCAAACTCCAAATAACTCAGACTCGAACTTTGGACAAAGTCCATTAACACATTCAATACGAAAAGCTGCCAGAGTCGCTGCAAAAATTTTGGCTTCCTTTCCAAAACAGACCAGACCAGCAAAAACTTACAACCACACTTTATATTTGTTGGATTAGATACGACAATGAGCATCGATTCAAGCCACAGCATTCAGTTTGTCAATGAACAGCAAATGTGAAGCTTTCAGAGCTGGATATAAGAGTTCACATCAGGTAACAACAGAGACAGAGGCGATCTCTCAAATTTCCCCAAACAATATGGATGATCCCAACATGAGCAGCTTCTTCGCTACAAAAGTGATTTTACTGATGTTCTCACAATGAGGATGAGAATAATACAAGTGAAGAGGACTGGGGAGGCTGAGACACATACATTTCCCAAACAGAAAAGCAAATCCAGAGCAACGACGTCCCGCTGTTAGTCTCATGTTTCACAGCTGAAATGTCAAAATGAATCTGTGCCCCTGGAGAGAAACTTGACTGAAGAGACGACCGATTTGTTCAGTATGTGTTAATCCTGCTCTTTACAGCGTCAGTGTTTGCCAACAGTCGGCTTAATGAAAGTAAACCGTTTTCTTTGGGATGACATGCAGACACAGCTGCAGAGGAGAAGATCTAAACTAAAGCTCTGATGCACTGGGACCATTACCCACAACTTTGCTCATGATGGTGTTCAGGTGAAGGCAAACTCCAAATTAAGCCGGCTAAATCTGAAAACACTTATTTTTGCGCTCCCTTTTGGCTTTCTGTCCACAAGGTGGTGTGGAATCACAGTATAAAGGACGGAAAGGACGGTATAAAAGTGGACGTAGCCACCGTGATGTCACCCATTGGTTTGTGGACAGCCATTTTGAAGCCATGAATTTGGCATCTCGTTTTTTTTAGAACCACAAATTACCATATTTGGACGACAGGGTGGAGGTGGGAGAGACACGAATTGCTACACCTGACAGGCTGTGGAAGCGACTTGCCAATCACAAGGTAGCCACGCCCTAAAGAATACCCTGCTTTGTCATTTATTTTCCTCTAAATGGGACCAACATTTACAAAATGAACATTATGCTGTATTGAAGTAGACTTCAAACTTGCGACTGAGACAATAAATTTGCTAGGAAAGTGTTTACTGAGACGATGAATCAATAAAATAAAACTCAAGTGAGAAGTAGGGTCCTTTTGTCATAGAAGTTTATACAATCGGACTTCTTTTTGCAAGCGAGTGGATATGCTCACTTTAAAACTGGGCATCTTAAAAAGAAAAAACAACACTCCAGCCTCATATTCAAGTCGATGACTATTTGTCTCCTCTACCCTCTGTGATTAATGATTTTAAATGTTAATGGAAACCACAGTGTGCTATATTCCCTAACTTCAATGGTCAATGTTTCAGTGTAGCAGCATAGGAATTAAGAGCAGCTGGTGCTACTACTGGTCACCTAGTGAACAGCTAACACTTAATCATAAATGACCCCCCCCCCATCAAATCTACACAAATCCCAAAAGTTTAGGATTCAAAACAGCAAATTTCGCTGAAAGGTGAGAAGTTTTATGCTGATTCATGTGCCCTTTCTTCTAATAAAATAGAAATTCACTGATGAATGATAAAATTAAATATATACAAAACAAATGTTCAGCAGCAGTAACTATAGGGATTACAGATTAGGCCTAATGTGCATCACAACAGGCTTTAAAGAGAACAACAACAGAGACCATGTGGTCCACATATGGCGCAGATGGGCTTCCTGCTGACCAGATTAACCTGCAGCAGACTTCCACTCTGTGTCAGTGTGTGAGTCACACAAACAATGCTGCTAATGTGTCGGGAAACACCACAACACTCCAGTCTCTTGGCATTTGTCATCCAGTCACGCACAAATCTATTTTTGAGACACTCAATGAGGATGAGCACGTCTTCTAATCAGCTTCTTGCTTCTACATTCACATGGAGACATATACTGTAGGGTCACAGGTTTTCACAGTGAGTCCAAACAGACCCCAGATCTTCAGATCTCCCTCAAAATCCTTTATACCAGAAGAAGTTGTTTGTCAACCTGTATCATGACTAAACACAGTGGAGGGCCACAGTAGCACGCACTAAGATACCTTTGCCTATATTATGCAGCAAAAAAAAGAAAGAAGTTTCACTGCGACTACTAAGTTCTTGGTATTACCACCAGTAATCACAGGTGGTGCTACATTAAAGCAGGCCTTGGTAACAACTGAACATACAATGCAAAACCTTCTGCATCTCGTATCACTGCGCTAAGCCCCTCCCACCAAACCTACAAGAAGGAGCTGGTCGCCCTGTGAAACCTCATGCCATGTAGGGCTCGCTCTCCACGGCGAGACCTGGCCCCTCTGGCTTCGACCTAAGAAAACTCTCCAACGCGTCAAACAACTAACAGCGGGATGAGAGGCTAGTACATCACTGTCTCCCATTAAAAGTTTTGTCGTCATGCCTCGATACGAGCGTCATGGCATCAAACATGAGTTTGAAGCCCCGTGTGGAGCCGTACTATACGCTGTTGTAGACTGATCCTGGCTCTGATTGGTTGCTTTGACCTGGAAGCAGTGTATTCTTGCAAAGGCATAAGGAGCACTAGGAGGAGCCAGAGGAACGTGATGTATTTAGGGCCCGAGCACGACCGTGCGAGGTCCCTATTGAATTTGCTAAGATTATATATATATATATATATATATATATATATATATATATATATATATATATATATATATATATATATATATATATATATATATATATATATATATATATATATATATATATATATATATATATATATATATATATATATATTTTTTTTTTTCTTCTGCAAAGTAAGCTCCATTGTCGGGGCCTAAACATACTCGACATTCGCACATGGGCGTGGCAAAATGACTGGCTAGTGCCACCTAGAAAATTGGAAAAGATTATCCCCTCGTTCACGTTCAACCTACATGTACGAAATTTTCTGGGGACATGTATCGTATCAAGACGCACAAAAAAGCCTCAAGAACCCATAGCCTAAAGTCAACAGGAAGTCGGCCATTTTGAATTTTACGGCCATTTTTGGATGATTTACACACTTCGTACTTTAACAAACTCCTCCTAGGGATTTAGTCGGATTGACGTCAAATTTCTGCTGTGCCTTCTAAAGGCATTGACGATGAAAAGTTGTGCTATTTGCGAGTTTTCGTCAATGGGCGTGTCTGTGGCGTCGATGATTCGCCATGAAACAGGAAGTTGTTGTAACTTCAGTGTACATGCTCACATCCGGACCAAAGTGTACATGTAGGATGAGAGTCCCGCCCTGAACACATGTACATGCCGACATTCACCCACAGTCATAGCGCCACCTGCTGGCAACAGGAAGTGACCTTTAATGAAGCAGCCCCCGCCGCACGTTTCACCTACGTGCACAAATTTTCTGTGGTACGTGCATCTTGTCCAGACGCACAAAAAAGTCTCTTGGAGCCATAGCCTAAACCCAACAGGAAGTCGGCCATTTTGAATTTTACGTCAAATTTTGGATGATTTACACACTTCGTACTTTAACAAACTCCTCCTAGGGATTTTGTCCGACCGACTTCAAATTTCTGCTGTGCCTTCTAAAGGCATTGAAGATGAAAAGTTGTGCTATCTGTGAGTTTTTGTCAATGGGCGTGTCCGTGGCGTGGCGTCAAAGATCAACTCTTCGCCATGACACAGGAAGTTCTTGTAACTTCAGTGTACATGCTCACATCTGAACCAAACTTTACGTGCTTGATAACTCTCTCACCCCGCAGACATCTACACACCAATGCCGATTTATATTCATAGCGGCAAGTGCTATGTAGCTCCACATAGGTGACACAGGAAGTGACATATAACACCTTCATGCGGCGTCGGAACCGCGTTGCAAATTCACAGCCGTACCGGCAGAGCTCCAGAATATGCAACTTCGGCCGGCTCACACCCGGACGCGCTACAAGTGCGAGGGCCCGCCCAACGCTGCTTGCAGCTTTAATTGTTAATATTGTCTTCTTTTTTATTTATTTTTTTTATACAGAATCTCTTTCTCACGTACGGCTGTCAAAATATAGTGATAGTTTCAGCAAATATGCCCCATATTAGTTTCATGTTGTGTTCATGTTATTTGTGTTTTTGTTGTTTGATACGAAAGCAACAAATAAAAAAATAACAGGGTTATAAAAGTAAATATGAGGATCATTTATTATATAATAGGCGAAGATAACCATGTCATAATCTCAAGATAACGGGACATAAAAAGCCACTGTGGGTCACTCTGAGCTTAAGTAAGTAAGTAAAACTGAATCTGAATTATCAACATTGAGAGTTCAACATACCATTTTTAGTGTCACCTCTCTTCTCTGCAAAAGAAAAATTAACACAATTATAGTTTCAGAACAAAATCAACAGGACTTAATTAAATTAAGAACACGTAAAATGAAAGAGGCGAGAGAAGAGGGTGAACTGTTCAAGAGTCAGAAAGTGTGTTACAGTTCAGTAAGCATCATTCTGTGGCGGCTAGAGAGAAGATGACAGTTTTAAAGCCCTCAGGTGTAAAAGCTGTCAGAGAACAAACGCTGCTTCATTTATTCGACGCTGTGAGCAAAGCAGTCAGAAAGAGAGTTCAGGAAGTCTGCAACATGAGCGGAAGAAGAAAAAGCAAAAGATCTGAAAGCTCAGTTGTGATAAGTCCGATGAAAAACTCCCCTCCTAAAAAAAAAAAAAAAACCTTCTGTGTCCCAGCTCTGTGAGCGTTTGACCCTCAGTAACCATCACAGTTTGAGTGGTGTACTTCAAAAGTGCCAGCATGCTGAGAGGAGCTGGAGGGAAGCCACAGAGGACCCTCACTTACAACACAGAGACAGGCTGATGGTTTTACTACAGCAGAGAGAAAAGTCCCAAACCAAACCTTAACTCATGTCCTCAAAGAAAACACCTTTACAGATTTTACATTTACGATATTGTGACTTATACCCCTCTCATACAGCAGACGCACATCTGATGTGGGTCACTTTCAAAGAGTTCAAATGAACACGTACATTAGTTCAAATTAATTTGAACGCAACCATTCAGTATATAGCGCAAGTAAACCCAAATTTAAAAGTAACAGCCTTCTATACTGACATGTGTTCAACCCACATTAGACCCATTCCTATGAGACAGCGGTCACTGTTAGAGACTGCGGTCTGTAGTTTAGTTTATACGCACATCCAGAAAGGACTAAATAGAAGTTAGGTTCAGGCTACACAAGCACACTCCCACCTATACGTGCACCTTCACTATTCTTCTGTAGAGTCTGTTCAATTATGCTTACCCGTCATTAGTTTCATTTCCATCCCTAATACTTGTAATAACATAACGTCACACCTCATGTTATAGCCAACCAGGCTCCTGGATGGCAACGTGCAACAGTTTCCTATTAAAAGATACGACAAATGCTATTCAGGTCATTTATTTTTGTTTTAATTAATTAATATAATGAAGATCCCTCAACTTTTGCTGCAATGCTTTATTTTGGTGAGGTGCATTTTCTACATCATTAGTCAGTCAAGGCTTCAAGCTTAAAAAGGAACTCCAATATAAATGATTAACGTGTGCAAAAGTCTTGACGGAGAAGAGAACAAAGCATCTTGTGCTTACTTTGAGAACAAGAAAAACAAGAGTCCGTCAGCGTGTGGGATCGTTTGGTTCCTTCTAAAATGTCCTGTTTACCTATACTTTTAATTTCAAGATCCATTCAAGTACCTTAGCGGGAACATGAGCAAAGCAGCCAGGTTTGGGACTGAGGCTGAGGTCTTGTTAGCAGAAGAGGTGGTAAGTGTTCTAAGCACAGGTGTGAAAGGTTAAAGGTCACACAGCTTGATGAAGCAGAGAGACAAAATGAAACAATAAAAACGTACCAGTTTTGCGTTGTCGTCGGTTGAGCAGGTCGTTAACTGCCGCTCTGAATCTTTTGGCCTCCTCTTCGCTGGCGAAGTTCAGACCGATCTGACAGGTCTGAGAGGGAACAGCAGAACAAGACACAGATGGCACCTTTCTTTAAATAAAAAGTATTCAACAGAAAGATTATAGAACATCAAGTCTGCGCACATCATACCTAATTATCACCAGGCAGCGTCTGGAGTAAGTGATACTGTTTCACTAACCGGGGCATGATCATACACTACACTGTTTAGAGGTCTCATGATTTAAAAACATTTTGGCTTTTCCTGAAGTGCATCCTCTAAAGAATCAGTCAGTTAAGTACAGACATCTCCAGCTCGGGTCCTCCTGCAGCATTTTATAGCCGAGGAGGGTCTTTTGTCAAAAAACGACTCAACCTTCAGAAGCTCTCTGCTCTGCAACTGTTTAAAGAGCAGACACATCCTGAAGGCCTGCGGCTGCTTCACATTACTGCCTGTGTGTAAAACAGCTGCAGCAGCAGCAAAAAAAAAATACAATAGACACCCTAATGTGAATATGTGACTGTGTGAAAGCGCATTCAGTGATCTCACACCTTATTAAACTGTAAGACCTGATCAGTGAGTCCAGCAGCTGTGGGCAATTTGTTTTTGAGGTAATGACAAAGAGCTGCACACTTACATCGCCTGCAAACATGATGAAGTAGGATCTGGAGCTGCTGATAGAGAAGTTGTGGTACAGTTCTTGTTCAAACATGGTTTTCCCTTCCTGCAAAGACAGAGAAAGAAACAGAGTAGATTATTCTTGGGAGTTCAGAAGAACCAAATCTGTAACACGCATCATCAGATTTTCATCCACGGACTACAAATCACCCGCACGTTCTGTCATTTTCAATACAAGAAATTACCAAATTCACACGATTTGCCTTTTGACAAACCGCGTTTTCAAATAGTTGGTGTTTCTTGATTTGATTTTCTGACAGAGCTCATTAACAGCGATACATTTGGACGCATCTTTAAAGTAACGGCAGGTTTGTTTTTAATAGAAATTAGCTGAAACCGAAGTGATATTTTGTCCACAGACTCAGCCTGTATGAGAGTCAGACAAAGTAAACACACATGAGTGGCTGGTAATTCAATTTGATCCATTAGAGTTACACACCTGATTGCACATCATCTTTGAAAAAAAAAACGTGTTAATTTATTCTGCCAACAGTGTATAGATTCAGTCAGCGTAACAGACAGAGGGAAGAATGAAGAGAAAATGAGCAGATTTAATGGACAAGTTGGCCGTTTTTGGCTAATAGGGGTGTGACGAGACGAGATTCAAGACTGGGTTCACGAGACGAGACGAGATGAGATTTTAACACTATTTTTAAGAAATCTTTAATACTGAATTATATGAAAATTTTTTAGTATTAAACACTTTATTTCCTGCATTCTGATGAATTTTTCTGCACTAGTTTATGGTGATTTGTTAAAATTTTTTTACATAAAGAGAAACACAAAATTCTGGTGGCAGGAGACAATTCAAACTCTATAATGAAACTATAACAGAATATAAGTCTTTGCAGCTCTCGGTTATCTGTTTCTCCTGTAGAACAACTTTTTTAATATCATCCCTGTAGATTCATGATTTGGTCTTCCCTCCTCTTTGTGTCTTTGTTTGGGGAAGTAACACTTTTTCACCATAATGATAAATTACTTAATTTTAAATTAGTTGTAAACTCCTGAACTTGAACTTCTGTGCTTCAAAACTTTCTGCACATTCAGAATCTCCTCCACAAATCTGTGTTCTCTGACGTGTCCAGAGAAAAGTCAGACTATTACCAGACTAACGTCATCAGTTAATAAGAAGTCTGTGCATTACGTTTTTTGATCCGCTGGTAGTAACGTTATCCCCTTCAGACCGTTTGACCGACGCAGTCTGGGACTGCATGCTGCATGTGAAACCGAAACTAAATGAAACACTTTTGATCAGGCAGAAATCTCACCACAGATCCACACACGTGAACTTTAGCAGCTCAGATAAAGTGCTCAAAGCCCCCACAGTCCCAAACAGAGCAGGCTGCGCTTCAGTTTTTAGAGGTTTATGTTGCTCTAACAGCTACGTTACCTCTCGTCATATCTGTCTGGACTCGGTTGATTACTATCACAGTGTACGCCGGTGTCAATCAACTGGGCGGAGTTGATTCACTCCATGAATCTATTTTATCAGTGAGAAAATTAAAATATCATTTGTGTGAGTCTCGCAAGACAGCTTTTTACCTGACGAGAATCTTCATTACAATTTAATCTCACAAAATCTCGTGCCGCAAGATCTCGTCACACTAGGGCTGGGCGATATGGCCAAAAATGTTATCATGATTAAAATATTTCATATCATTTGATATCAATAATTACCACGATATATATCAAATCATTATTTCTTTCAAGTTTCAAGGTAGATTTTTGCTCCTGAGTGGAAATTGATGAAACCAGATGGTTAATTATGTGGTCAGAATGGGAAAAACACTTGATGCCAAAACAGTGGATCACTTCATAAATCTGAGGAAGAACAATCAAAACCATTATGATAAAATCTTTTTCAACATAAATAATAATAAATATCTTAATAGAAAAATTAAGTGCTAATTTGTTTGCGATTCAAATGAATTAAACCAGATATTTACTGACTGATATATTGAACATTTATTATATTGTTATTGAGGAATACTATATTGCAATAATGATCATTATTGTTTTATTGCCCATTTTTTCACAAAACAGACATGTATCCCTGAAATTTAAGAACCAAGATACGCACGAAGCCAAATCTGTTGGTATAAAAAGGCTGTATTTCAGTTTCTTGCTACATGTCAGCCGACCTATATGCTGATACGATAAATCTGTGATAAGATCGAAAACGACAGCTTTGCTGATCAACATTGTGTTTTTCCACCACGTGCCCCCGAAAAGTTTTTAAGCTGTATAGTGAAAGGGATGAATAGCAATCTTCATAAAGATATTCTCTCATTTGCTGTTTTGATGATGGTGGTGGAGAACAAAGTCACTCCAGGTGTCCCAGAGGAGTTCAGATGGGTTGAGATCTGGTGACTTCACAATCATAGAACCAGTCAGTCAGTCCTTTTCACCTTTCTTTGTTACCCGCATCAATATGAAACTTCAAACATTGAGTTTTTACTTGTATTCAAGTATTTTAATGTAACATCTGACTGATTACAAGCTTCTATTTTTCAGGACATTTCCTAAGGAGACTACTTGAAGTACGTTTATGCGACTTCTAATGAAATGTTCAATACATTATACCTGGCTAATATAAACCTAATGCAAATGTTTGGGAAATAAGCTTATTGGCTTTCTGGCAGAGAGCAAGACGAGGACCAATAACTGTCACATATCTGTGCATTCATTACCCTTGTAAAATTGGTATCAATCTTCTCATCTAAATCAGAAAGCCAATAAGCATGTTTCCCAAAATTAAGATGCTTCATTACACTATCTACCTGGTGTTTAGTTAAAGCTTTACAGATGGTCCCACTCACCTTGATATCAAACACTCTGATGAAGTAGGACCTCTGAGGGTTGTCTTTGACCAGACAGGCCACTCCACAGCACCTCTTCACCCAGTTGCAGCTCCGGTCTGCACAGTATACCTGGACCACTGCCGAACACAGAGTCTGAACACACAGAGGACAAAAGGACAGGACGGTGAATATCAGCGCCTGCGCAGTTCATTAACAATACATACAATTAATAACCAGGTGTGTTGAGTCCTGCAGCGAGTGTAAGTAACTGCTCAGTCAGGAGAATTTTAACTGCATGGCTGCGATCTCGCTCTAATGCGTGTCCACATTTAAATACACATCAGGAGAGTTGTTAAAAGCCCCCAAGCTGTGTAACGTGTCACAAAGCAGCAGCAGAGCAACCAGCGAGGAAGCGGAACTCTATCCATGATGCAAAACATTTAAACAATGATAAGGAGTACATAAAGCCCACAGCTGTTTCACCAGGTGAGAAACGAAGAGCAGGTCATTTAGGCAAACCTGAGACCTTTTCAAATCAGATTACCTGTCACATATGCAAAAATCTTCACAATGGAGTCTCAAATGTGCAGAAGAAAATGACTAAATTATGTTTGATATTATGCCCGTACACTCTTTTGTGATCATTTGTTGTCTTGGCATTGTACTTCAAAATGAACTTGCTGAATTAAAGGCACATTCCCCTGATATAATAAATCTCTTCCAAAAAGTTGGGAAGCTTGTGAAAGAGTTTTAAAACCAAAAACCCTTGTAAACTGGTGAAACAGCATTCCCTCACACCATGTGCAACACCACGAAGGTCTTCAAGGAGAGACTGTCCGACAGCGTGCGCCATTATCCCCTTTTATGCTCTTTATTGATTCACATCTCACACCTCTCTATGACGGCATGCATTTCACCTGTGTGGACATTCAGGACAGGTAGGACACTTTTCACTTAAGAGATGACAGAAGAACTGGTTTCTTTGTTGGTATCTAGGGCTGCAGCTAACGATGAGATTAGTAATCAAGTATTCTACAGATTATTTCATCGATTCAGCGAGTAATTGTAAAAGACGTTTACCCCTGGTGAAGAAGTATCCCTCCCCTTTTTCCACTTGCTAACATTCAACACCAGAGCTGAGGGCATCGGAGCAGCGAGGAGGAAGAAACAGGGCCAGCCTAAGTCATTTGGATTCATCGTCCATGAACAACAGAACTTTGTGCCAATCTAATAGTTGTTGAGGTATTTCAGTCTGGACCCAAGTGGTGGACCAACATTGCCATCGCGAGAGTGGCAAAAAAAAGCAAACGACAACAAGAGGTTTTAATTGGGGGACAGATTATTAGCATTTCTGATAAACCACACTATTGTCTAAACTATAGTTGTATTCTGTAGCATTATGATTTGCCTTGATTTGAACTAAGGGGCCAAACCAGGAAAAACAGACCCACACTAACAGTATGCATCTCTTCCATGTTGATGATCTGTCAGTCCTTCACTTCACGAACTTCACTTTCTTCTTGTTTCAGAGGCCTTTTGCCTTAAGTTTGATCTTCAGCAGTAAAACTCACAATGGCATGGGTTGCAGTCATGCGAAGGATTTGGGCGAAACACTCCACTGTTAGGCCCTAAAAAAAAACCATGTTGCTGCGTCTGTATGTTCAGGATCACTGTCCTGAAAATTGGGAACTCTGTACTGTGGATATTATGGATATAAACACCCTAAAATTAAAGCTCTTTAACGTTACAGTGAGTTTTTCCAATTCAAATCGAGTGTATTTGACATTTCCCCACAGTGTTTAACTTTTTCTACAGGACAGGAAGCGGAGACCAGCTGCTGTCCTCAGCAGTATTGTGGGTTTTTGGTTTTGAGGTTTCTGCAGAATTTCCACCGTGTTCAATCCTCTGCCAGATTTTCCCTGTGTGGTAGACAGCAACTCAAGCAGCCGAGAGAGGAAATAGGAAATGCCAATGGACCAGTTTCCTGCTCTGATTTATGATTGCAGGTCAGAAGACCAGCAGGAAACACTTTTCAACACGAAATCACAGCTCAGCATCACACAGGAAAGGTCGAAGGTCGGCCATTAAAAGCCTCATTTAGGATCTGCACATTCTCACTGAAGGAAAGCATGTAGCAATGAACACAGACAGCAACACCGCAGACTCTCTGCAGGTTACATTAGCTGGCGCTTTAGCATCTAACAACCACAAACCCAAAGGACAATATCAATGTTTTAGACCAGCGGTTCCTTATTTGCCTACCCACATCTGATTGGTTACACATCGCGAATAATCTATCTAATAAACAAATAAATTATCAACACTTTGCTCGGGTGAGTGTTGACGAGAAGGCAGCCGATATTTCTGAAGGTGCAATAATCATCAAAAATCATCAAGCTTTTAAATCAGTCACTCTCCCCTTACCCACTCACTGCACACACAACATGCACAAGTCTTCTTTTCATTGCAACTCTGCATCGCAATGTAATGTTATATATTTATTACTTTAACAAGTTACAGTGGCAGTAAAACCTTCTCATACAACATTTCACCTGCGGTAAACCGTGCAGAGGGAGGTGGGGGGTATTTTCATGACAAAAAAAAAAAAAAAAACGTATCAAAACATCCCCGTCACTGTTTTTTCTTTTTAGAAATCGCACCAAACCAATAACATGGACAGAAAGAGGAACCATATGAGGATTTGTAAGTACAGTGCGGGTGGTTCAACCTGAGAGAGCGAGGGAGAGGATAGAGAGAGGTGTGCGAGTAGCTATTTCCTGTGAACGATTAATAATAAAGTTTTTAATTTTAAATTAAATTTACAAAGGAAAGTTTTCTATACAGGTTTTTTATTTCATGAAAAATTCGACCAAAAAATAATTGCTGTAGTTATTACACTACTACACCAGCATTACATTTTTCCTGTCGCGCACCGTAGAGGCAGCTCACGCGCCACCACACTTTGGAGCTTTAGACAATTAACTAAAAACCAAATCAGTTTTTATATTTACTCCTTCATTTATTTGAGTTAGTCCGGAAAAAAATAGTCAAATCAGTCATTACTCAATTGACATAAATTTAAATTTTTTTATATCAGTCTACGCAGACGGATACCTAATTTCAATACATCCAATCAAATCAGTCTAGCATAGGCAGAGCACATACTGAGCCAATCAGAGAAAAAGACTCTCAACAACAATAACAACTGCATTAGCATTCCTGCGAAATTCCGCTTCTTATCCAACTCACAAACATGAACACACATCTTGTCCTGCAACTGAGCTTCTTGAACGAGTGTCCTAACAAGCATTGGCCCTGGGAAAAAGAAAAACAAAAAAATGTATTTGTCATGAATAACTCATGAGGTCAAGCCAATTTTGAGACCACATAAATCTGCTCATGGTTCAGAAAAAAGGTTGAGAAATCAGCTGAAAACATCCAACAGTCATAAATCCAAATCCATCTAATTCAAGCACTCCCAACAAACTTTTCATGTTTATCTGCCTCTGGATAAATCCACCACAGAGTCGTTTAAAGAGCAGAGGGGCACTCCACAAATCCGGATTAGCAACTTAGCCACACAATTTTAGGAAGCTTATAGCTAATATTTTCTGAAATTGTGTTTTTTTTAAAAGAAACCATCACCTTGGATAACTGAAATCTGATACCAAATGTAATATCAGATTTAATTTTCCGATACAAATCTGTTTCACCAGATTTAAATGAACTGTTGTGAGTTTCATATGCTTAACTTTCTAATCCTGCTTTGTGAAATACCCCTCCGGACTACCGCCATCAGTGTGTTTTTATGGAACAGGAGATGAAGTCTGACCACAAGTTATCCTAAATGCTGCTCTTTAACCGAGACTAACTCTAGTAGCCAAAACAATTACACTTTACGTTACTGGTAATGCCTGAAAATAGTCCTGTGTGCAATTTCAAACTTTTAAAATGCCTTTGTGATCATTTTGTTACAGAAAAAAAAGGGCATTACAGTAAATCCTGGTTCATTGCTGATCGTTGATTTTAGGATGGACAAACACTCCTGTCTACATCATTGGAGCTGAGGTGGAGCAGGTAAATAGTTTCAAGTTCTTGGAAATCAGCATCACGGAGAATCTGACATGGTCGTCTCACATTTCCACGCTGGTGAAGAAAGCTCAGAAACGACTGTATTTCTTGAGGAAGCTTAATAAGGCCAAATTCCCACGCCAAGTTCTTGTCAGCTTTTACAGGAGGAGCAACAGAAAGCATCCAGACTGGAAACATCACAAACCGGCATGGGATGTGCACGGCCCAGGACCGGAGGGCTCTGCAGCAGGTGATTAAACCTGCTCAGAAGATCATTGGTACCCATCTCCTGAGCATCAGTGATATCGGTGAGGTGCCTACGCAGAGCCCAAAGGATACTAAAGGACAGAACCCACCCAGCCACAGCCTGTTCACCCTGCTGCCTTCTGGGAAGAGATATAGAAGTTTCTGCTGCTGCACCACCAGACTGCAGAGCAGCTTCCCCCCCCAAACTATCTTAAACTCTAATTCATCCTCAGCACTGCTCCAGTGATGAGTTTATTCTTTATTGATGTACATTGTCTGCTATGTAGCTGAAAGGACTTACAAAACTCAATTTCACTCTACAACTTGTTATAATGTGACAATAAACTTACCTACCTATTGGCTTACTTCAAGGTTTAAATATTCAGAAGACTGCAGGTGGGAATAAGAGCGAGACAGTTGTGGTTGAAAACTAGAAGGGGTTCAGGTTCCATACCCAGTGAAGATCTACCCAACCAGTCTTAGTTTTACCTCTAAGCACAGGTGTTTCACCCTGCATGCATCGGCTTCCTGCAGTCGTAGTTCAGCCGAAACGGCAAACTCCGATTCTGAAATGTGAAGCCAATACGAAAGTGCCTAACACCTACATTGTTTCTAATGGCCAGCAGGGGGCGACTACACTGGTTGCAAAAACAAGTCCTATTGCAGTCAAAATGAGACAAAATGAGGCTACTTCTCAACCGATTTATTACCTCAGTAAACACTTTCCTAATTACTTTATGGTTTGCTAGTTTCAAGTCTTCTTCAATAAAGCAGGATGCTCATTTTGTTAATTATGGTCCCATTTAGAAGAAGATGGACGATAGGCTAAAGCGGGTATGCTTTAGTGAAGTGGTCGGCAATAGGCGGCCCGCCAGCAATTATATTCTCAGTCATGACAGCAACAGTTACTCACATAATCACTTCCTCTGAAGTGTTTGTGCCTCCAAAATAAAAGCACAAGAACGTTTTTTGCAGCAACGCTTCATGTTGAGTTTATTGAGAGCTTTTACTTTGAAATGTTCTGATGGACATTCAAAAGAGTCTCTGGCTTACATGACACACCTCTGTAAAAGCCGTCAGTAAACGTGTGATTGGATTCCCCTGAATTTCCTCAGGGAAATGAAAATTAGTGTCCGATGGCCAGAATGCCAAACTTGAGGCTTCAATACGGTAGTCCACAAACCAAAGGGTGACGTCACAGTGGCTACGACCACTTACTGTCTATGGTTTGGCCTCTGCAACAAGCAGCAGCTGACATTAAAACCTGCTGAGCTGTCCTGCAACCACTTCAATACATCAGCCAGTAAAAGATCTGACTCACAGTTTTTGTTCTTATCTGAGAGGATTTTCACGGCTGGTTATGATTTGGCGTGGAAGTGCAGGAAGGGTTAAACCACGCTCAGTGGAGTTTTATCCAGGTGTTACTGGTTTTCACGTGTAAAAGTGATTTAATTAGAATGCTGCGTCATCTGTAAAAAGGTTTGCATCATTGTGTTGCGCAGCATTTCCTTCAGCTTCATCAAAGGTGGCCGTGTGTTTTCTCATCATACAGAGGCGGGTTTAGAAGTGTCCTTAACAATTATCACATTCAACCAGCAGTTACCATAGATGCCACTGAGACACTTCAGAGTCACTTCAACCCAGTTTGACCCAGTTCAAAGTGTGGAATGACAATTAAAGCAATTAGCCACATGTATGTTGTCTGAGTAAATTCAATTTTTTTCACTGACAATGAAGCTGGCAGTTATTTTCTTGGTCAGAAAATAGTGGAAATTCGCTATCACATCTTCCTAAACCCCCAAGTTAACTTTTTCCTACTGTTAGTTTTGTCTTTTTGTCCAAACCAGCAGTACAAAGCCCAAAAGGTATTCTGTTTGTAATTAATTATCATAAATGTTACATTTTGTGTTTCGGGTATTATTGATAACTTAACTGCAAAATACAAATAAAATGCATGTGGTACTGATGTAAACAATTACTTTAAAATTACAATTACTTAAGAAACATAAAATGTTAGTAACTTGTAGGTCTGCATAATAGTTCAATATTATTAAAAGTGACACTGGTCATCTTGCAAGTCTGGACTTTTTGTGGTGGAAGCGAACAAACAAACTGTTAAGATCTGCTTGACTAATTGTGTCTTTTAAATAAAAGGTTTTATACAACAGAAGCTAATTAACGAACCAGACAAATATGAGGTCGTTTAAGCTTTCAAAATACGTGCAAACAGAAGGGCAAGAAAACACGTCAAGGAGTGTGTGGGGTCACCGATTCTCCTGTAACACCGGGGCCCCGGTATGAACGCCACAGCGGTTTCAAAACAGGTTTTTGCTGCTTCGTATCACCTGAGAGGGGTGAAGAGAACGCAAAGGCTGGCGGGTTTTTTGTTTTGTTTTGTTTTGTTTATGAGACGTGGGTGAAAGTACCTGCACCTTCCTTGAACATGCAGGTGGTAAACAAACCGGGGGGGAACTTACGGCGCATTTTCTTCCCAGGTAGCCGAACAGGCACTCGTTTTCCTGCGGGGTCAGGAGGATGGAGCCGACGTTAGCGGACCTTCGGGGCGGCTGGTGGCTGTTCATGGCTCCGAAGTCTTCTAGTTAACCCCACTAAACGATGCAGTTTTCCCCGGACGGACTCGGCAAACACTACCAATTACAGAAAATCCATGCGGGCTCCGGTTGCTATGGCCTGCAACCGGATCATCTCCGCTGAGTCCGACTCCGGGCTGGAGGGCGGAGAAGGACGGGGAGCTGTTTTCCAGGCTTGCTCTTGCTCAGGAAAGAACAATAACTCCTCCGTGTTGGTGTTAAATAAAAAATGAAGGAGTCGCTACGTGTCCGTACGCGGATAAACGCTCAACTTTCATTCGGAAACTCCAGCAGCTGCAGCAGCGATGCGTACATCCAACATGGCAGCAAGACGGAGCAGACCACTTTAAAGACGGAGGAGAGGGGAGGTGTTAGTTTGGGGAAACTCTTCAAGTATCCACTGTAATATGCTTCACATCGTGAGGTTTGCGAGCACACACACAGAAATATATGATTCATCGTTCATTTTAAGTTAAAACTGCGTGTCGGGTGTGTTTTGGGTCCATTATGTGTCGCTAGGATGTCGTTGCTAACACGAAATGGTTCGGTCCGATGTAGCAGCAGAATGCAGCTCTGCGGAGGGAGAGGGAGGGGCGGGTATTGTGACGTAGCGCGGGAGGAGCCAGATGGTGGACGTAAAAATGTAAATAAGATGCCTTTGCTCATCAATAATTTATAAACTGATGAATATTTTGTACATATGATGCCTTCTGTGGGGAAAATATTAAAATATCCCAAGTTTGCACAACAGAAATTATACAATAGTGCTAAATTTCTCCAGGAGAAAAGGAGCCGAAATTGTAATAAAAAAATTGTACTGTGCATTTAGAAAAATGAAGTAAAAAAACTAGACTGTTTCCCTTTGACTTAATAAAATATAACAATCATAATTGAGCACATTCAGCCACAGACTCATCCAGCCCAGAGCCCTGAAGCGCTTTGGAGGCTCATTTGTGCCATTATCAGCCACAACGCCACAGAACCCAACTGACACCGACTCTATTTGTGATTATAGATTTGATTTATCTGATTGTAAATAATTGTTATCATATATTGATTGTATATGTTGTGTATACACTGTGTATATAGCCTATTTATCCATCTACGTAGAATGATTATACTTTTAATCTGTTGTGTTACATTCCTCTGTGCTGCTGTGTCAACCTGAATTTCTCATACGCAGGTTTAATAAAGGTAAATCTTAAAATATCTTATTTTATACACATCATCATTAGCATGACTTAGCATTAGATTATAAAATAACCCTTTTTGAAATAACTCTTTTTTTGTTACTTTAATTTCTTAATCAAATCTATTACTACTCTTGTTTTTTGTTTTGTTTTTTTAATTTTGGGATGTTGGGATCATGTGCTGGGGTGGGATTTTTGAGAAGTAACTACTGTAAGGGATCACAATAACAAATAAAGAGTATGAAGAAAAAGATTCTGAACACTTCTCACTGAGAATAAAAACAGTACAACCGTGGGCTCAAACACCAAAACAATGAGCTGAAAGCTTCTTCAAAGGCCAGTAGAGCTGATGAGAAATGCATCTATTGAATTGAAAAGTTCTATAAAGTAAAACTATTATTATTTCTTAATTTTTTCTACTTAAGATGTTTATTGTTTGTGGCAGTTTTTTTGTAACACATCTGCTTTTTTGTCCTGTGTTCACAGCAACAGAGTAAACAACTCACATTGGACCACCATGTGTAAATAAACATTGAATAAAATGAATATTGATGGTGTCAATCTGTTGCTGCACCCATCTCTGTGGCTCAGGTCAAGATCAACAAATACTGGCCAGATCACCTTCAGCTTTTTGAACTTTCCTGCCTGTCCTGCAACTGCCCTTCTCTCCCTAAATGAGATAATATTCATTTACACTTTTGTACTGCCCAAACTTGGAACAACAAGACTTGCAGTCATCTCTTCCCTGAAAACAAGCTGCTGTCCTGTTCTGACTTTAAAAGTCATGACAAATTAATTTTGATACACTTTTTAAATAAGTTCGGACACTCCTTTATCAATACAAATAAAATCAGGGGGAGGGTTGTGAAGGCGGCTTTGGCAGATGGACGGATGTCGGCGTCCCGCAGGTCCCGCCCGCCTACTGCAGGGTTAAAGCTTGTCAGCAGCATTAACACCAAAACTAAGCCGTAGACCAGCTGCTTCTTCACTCTGCTGTATAAAACACTGAACGGAGGCCAAACAAGAGGAATTGAAGGACCATTCACATCTATCACAGAACCTGCATTGTAACCAGAGTGACATCCTGCTAGTGTCCCATAGAGGCTGCAGTGTTCATTACAGACACAGTCTGAAAGTGCTGGACAGCAACAACATCCTGGTGATTTATCTGTTCTTAGAGTCTTACCCGCAGTGAAGATAAGAATGGAAAGATTGTATTGAAGGTGGTGCTAGAGGAAAAATCACTGGGTCTTTGAAATTTACAGGGTCCATTGTCTGGAAAGCTGGAATGGAATCAGGTCATGTCATAACAATCTGATCAGTAGTTGCTGAGATATTTCTAGCATCATAGCTCTAGTGATGGTGAAGTTGGTTGGTCCACCACTTCGGTCCACACAGAAATATCTCTACAACTACGTTGGATTGCCAAGCTGTCAGATTCTTGAGCTCAGTTTCACCGAATGTATTTATTTCTGTTTACCATATTTATAATTGCAGGGCAGTGCAGTTGTGCAGTGGTTAGCACAGTCGCCTCCCAGCAAAAAGGTCGTGGGTTCGAACCCCGGTTGTCCCGGCCTTTCTGTGTGGAGTATGCACCCTAGGTATGAGTGTGACTGGTTCTTTGTGTATGTGTGGCCCTGTGTTGGACTGGCGACCTGTCCAGGGTGTACTCCGCCCTTCGCCCGATGTCAGCTGGGATTGGTTCCAGCCCCCCGCAACCCTGTACGCAGGATAAGCAGTTGACAATGGATGGATATTTATAATTGCTTCTACATAAATGTATAGCAGGAGGGAGTTACAAACTCAAATTCAATATAACCTGTTATATTGCGACCGATCGACTGACCAACTGACTGACCGACCGACCGACCTACCTACCTACCTTGTCCCCAGAGGAAGAATTCTAATGGCTTTGTTGATCCCCTGATTTTTCATTGCGCACCACTATCAGGTCAAAGTTTTCTAACAGCCTATGCTGTGAAATATCTGAGAATTTTCTAGATGGATAAGCTGAAAATTTGGTACAGATATCCACGTTGCTCAGACAATGAATCCTAATGACTTTGGTGACACCTAATTTTCCTCCAGTGTCTCTAAGGATGAATACGTGCTCTCCTGATTTTGTAGCACCACAACAAGGTCAGAATTTTGATTTGTCCAATACTTTGGATTATAAGCAAGTACCTGAAAAACTATGACATTCCCATCAGCCTCAGTTGCACTTTGTCATTACTGCTAAGTAACAAATGTTAGCATGCTAACTTGCTAAACTGAGATGGTGAATATGGCAAACATTATATTTACTAAACATCAGCATATTTTAACATTGATTAGATAGATCATGCTTTTCTGACCACAACCTTCTGCACAACATGAGTTTGAACAAGAGGGTCAAAGGTGCGGCGTTACTTTCTCCTAGTTGTATGCATACTGAATGCAGCAGTACATGCTTTGTAAGGGCAACTGCAGTATAAAGCTAAGAAGAAGAATTATGCAATTTATAACGCAGCATTTGTCTTGTTTTCTTGTCTTGAACAAACTCATGAACCAACACTGTAGCTGAAACAGAGCTTTTTCCTCATGAATTAATCCAGTTCCATCTTATTTTATCTTGTTCCATGCACACCTGTGACAGAGAGATGAGAGTCATGGTTTTAATATTAACAGATGGTGAGGGGTAATGTGGGAGGGAGTTGTATTCTGAGGCAGAACAGACACTGCACAGCTAAGATGGACTTAATGAGGATCATCTGCTGTCTTATTCTTGTCTTGTTCAGGTGTTTCTGTCAGATTTGACCAGCTCTTTTTACTTTCCTTCAGTCTGTCTCATCTGCATCTGCTTTAGCTAGTGGATTTGCATTTTCCAGAATTTCTTTCAACAACCTCCAGTGACGGTCTTGTTGTTTTTGGATACAGATAAAGAGAGTGATTATATAATAACAAGAGGATTGCCTCTTCCACAGAACCTGAAACTCTTGTGGCTACACAGCATTCTCGTGTATTTTCTGTTCCTATAATTTAAACTTTGCAGTATTTGTGTTTTTATGAATTGCTTGTAATTTTAAAAGAAGAATTTCAGCTATTTAAATGACTGAAATTGAGTGAAATTTGTCAAGTTGCTTGAAACGTGTTGGGAGCAATGTGTCTCTGTGTATTAGTGTATTTCACAGATGGCACCGCTAGATGGTGCTAGACACAGGACTGTCCAACCTGCCTCTCCTCTTCACCCAAAATGCACACAGAGAGGGAGCATGTTCAACTGAAGGTTTGTAACACATATGAAAGTAGGTGATCTCATTGACACAGGAGGCACACATGAAGAGCTAGGGTATATGTTGTTACATGCAATCAACAAATCAAAGAGGGTTAAATAACAACTCTAATACTGAAATAACATACAACACACAAAATGCACAAAAAGTATTACAAATGACTGAAAACTGTGAAATATGAAACCAACACATTTATGAAGCTGCTCAATCTGTCTTCAAAATTGTTCATTAGGTGAACCTAAAGTACTCTCTGCTCCCTTACCAACCATGTTGTATGAGCTCTTAAGCAGGGCACCTGTCCCTCATTACAGCTATGAAAGATTTAATGAGGAGCAGGGGCGCCGTTCAAGGCGTGGCCAGAGGGGCCATCACTGTCACATTCCAACCCCTCCATCAGCCTGCTATTGCACAGTGCACTAGTGATGGGAATTACGGTTCTGTGAAGGGAGCCAGATCTTATTTGTCAGTTTCTTTCCAAGAGCCGGCTCCCAAACGGCTCTTCATTTAGTACAACTAGCAACTAAATGAAGAGCCGAGATCTTTTGCTACGTTTGCACGTCCCGTCCAGACTAAAACGCTGAATACAGTACTGAGCACCTAAAACGGAGAAGTTTGAAAACACTGCTGACCCCATTTTTTTTTTTTTATTCCAGGGTAGCGTTTTAGTGCAGACGGGCAAAAACCGAGGACGTTAAAAAACTATGACGTAGACGCTCACGTTCGGCTCTCTGATTGGGTCATACAAGTCATGCAAAGCAAAAACACAATACTACTGACAGAGTTTTAGTTTTGGCATTGTTATTATAACATTTTGTACCATGCAAATAACACTTACAGCCTACGGTTGTACTGTGCATGTTGCTTACTTTGCAACGACTTCCAGTCTGTTTTCTGCCGCCACAGTCGCTTTTAAACTCCCGTGTTACTTTCAGTAACAGTTCCAACTCATTGTTGGCCCATGCAAAAGAAATATCTGGTGTGGTTCTTTGTCTGTAGTACTTTATTCTTTCGC